GGATCATGAGAAAAATTATGAACTGGAAAAGTTTTAATAGTGCTGGTTGGGAATTCTGTTTTTGTGCACATGCGAAAGGTGGAATGCGAAACCAAGCGAGTAATTTATAGAGCTATGAACCGCGACTTTATTGCTTTCTTTATTTGCACAAAATCAACGCTCTTAGCTATAATGGAAATTGTTTTTATTGTAGCTTTGGTTTTTCACTGCTGTTATTCTATTCATTCAATAACTTTGACTTCCTGCATATCGACATACGAGTAGGGAAATGATCGTGGAGTTTATACACCTAACCAAGAACGCCTCGCGCCCTCATGCTTGCCTTCGTTTCATTTTCCATCTAATTAGCTTTTCTGTTTTCTGCACAGTCGCTGTCGATTATACACAACGCGTGGATGTTCTTCAAACCTCTCTTTGGCTTGAACATCGCCATTTATAGCCTCTTTCGATTAGATGAGTTGTAGCAATCAATCGTACAGACGTTGGCATACCTCTGAATAAGGTTTCACCTCTATCAGTGAAGGTCATTACTCAGCAGTTGTCTCAGAAGAAACACAAAGCAAGAAGCATGCCAAGAAAACGAAGCACAACAGTATTCACTAGCCATTCACTAGGGAAGGGTAATTACCCATCAATGGTCTTGGAAGAAACAAAAACAAGGGGAATGCAGGAAAAGGGACATACATTACCAAACGATAGTTTAATAGCTAATTGTCTAATTGATTGTCGAAAGTTACATCCTACAACTAGTAATCACCTTAGAACAATGTGTTCGAGCGCGCTACGCAACCGCTAATAAGCAGAGTTATGATAGAGGAAGTCTTCTGTCATCAAGGTCTTCCCGCAGTGCCAAGACACCCCAGAATAACATGCTGTAGCGCAAAACCGCGACGCAACCACTTACACGTAGGGTTCGTCTGATTATGTTGTTTAAGTTCTTCTCTTTCAAATTTTCTTTTTTTCGTTTTAGCTTTCTCGATTTCCCTGTAAAAATAAGTGTTAAGGATTTATACCAATCATCTGAAGTAGATCAAAGTCGTCTCATGGAAAAGAGATCGCTGTAAATTTATAACAATCTTCAGTCTTTCATACTGTCGTTCGACTGATTAATGGGCCACTATTTCCACTATTTCGAGGCTTAGGTCTCTCCTAAGCGACAAGAGTTCTCATCTAAGCTCATAGTGCAACATTCGTTCAATCTGGCAGACTTTAATTGGAAGCTATAACTCAGTGTAATCGGAATTACGACATTTGTAGTGGTTGCCATGACAACAGGGGTTTATGGTTAATGAATCGTGAAGTTTTCGAATTGCGGGAACACTGGGTAGATTTCGTGAGTCTTGGAATCATGGAAATATGCGCTACTCCAATCATTTGTTGATTTATTTACTTGTTTATTTATTAAATGCGCTCGTAAATGCGCTATCATAGAAACCTCACTGGTTCGAGTACCAGTGAGGTTCGAGCAATCACACCGGTTGCTAAAGTACTAGGGATGAAGGTAGCAACGTAATATTGTAGTATTGTATGGGAGTATTCTTAAGACAAAATGATGTCTACCTGACCAGCCAGCTGGGTGCATTTTATGATTTTCGATATAAACATAACAATGAAGCATGTATTGGTGGATCTTTCGGTCTCAGCGTCCGTACCGCTTTACTCGTTTATACTGTCGAATTTGCCAGATGCTCGCCATGAACGGCGTAACTCCACGGACATGAAATATTGAGGAGGGTCTGCCCACACTGGAAACGCGTAAGATCTTTTTCGATTGGAGAAAGGGGGCGCACCAATCCTTACACTCAGAGTTTTCGTGAAGAATCTGATCTCCGCCATGGTCCAGCTTATAAAGTAGGGTGACGTGTCCGGCCCAATGATCTCGGTTCCTTACCATGAACAATGGGGATGTGATCTTCGCCTGTTGACGGAGCTCAGGGCGCCGGATTCCCAAACTGTACTTGTGTGTCTCGAGAAGCTTCCAGCAATGACTTTTCCCCAGCACGTTGAAGGGCGCTAACTGCATGATCACCGTGCTTATGTAGAATTCAAGTCCCTCAGATAACAAGAACCGCATTGTCAAGAAGATGGGTGGAGGGATGGTGCTATTCGTCTTCCTGACTGCCCTCTCGATGGTCTCAAATGCTCCCACGGGGCGCATTTCTTTCTGTCTTAACTTTGAGGCCAGGTCGTTGATCATGTTGACTTCAAGGCCTAGACTCGTACCCAGAGCACTCAACCATGTTGGTAATACTGAGCGTAAACGGCGGAACGGGAGCAATTAGTTTCTGTAAACGTCGTCATCGATAGGTTCATTAGCAAACCGATCCTTCCGGAAACTTGCCGTATTTAGCCAGCACTCGTTCCGCCTCGAGAGCAAAGCATAGTGTAGGTAGCAGTCGTCGACCTTCATTCCTGTCATTTTCCATTTCAAATGACGCATCATATTCCCAAGAGCGACACTGAAAGTTTGGGAAACTCAAACGTTCTCAGTACAAGCGTTGTGCAGCATTTGAAAGTGCGAATCGCCACATAAGCCCTTTCTGCCTATGTGTCCGTGAGATTTTGGCAGCCTCTGAAGAGCGGTCTTACCCAACGCTGCCGTGTTGAGGGTTCCCTCGGGCTCAGGGGAATGAGGCCCATTTATATCACTGTTTTTGGCATATGCGTACCCACGGGTAGCTTACCGGGTCTGACGTGGAGGATGGGTAGGCTTCGTGTAGCTATCCAAGCTATCCCATATAGAGCAAGGGCCTTATTTGTTAGGGGCCGAGTCGCCTATCAGGGCCTATAGAGCAAGGGCCTTATTTGTTAGGGGCCGAGTCGCCTATCAGGCTCTTCCCAGTCTCTCGAATGCGAGTTACGTTGATTCCAAGCGACCCGCGAACTCTCTACTTACGCATGCATGGATATGCCTGCGAAGAGTGAGAAAGTATAAACCGCCCAACGCAGCAGAATAGAGTTTTATTCAGTAAAACCACCAGCATCTTTAGTCAAATACCGATAGCTTTTGGCTCGCAATTTACTCTCCCATCCGCCACCTGAGGTCCGTGGGTGGAGGTGCCACGGGTAACGGAACTTCTCCCCTATCGCGGCATTCTCCCTTGCGGCATGCGGCAAATGTCACTGCAATTACCGTACTCACCCCGCGTCCCGAAAATCGATAGGACGCGATATTTTTCCTTGACTGGCTTGCTTTTTCATTGGACTTTATCGTTTTTTCTTCTGTTTCTTTTTAGTTTTCATGTTTATTAGACTTGATTAATTAAAATGACTCCTCTTATATAAACGACGATCAATACCGCATTGAAATTGAAGGGAGCGACCAGCCAATTCAAATGATTAAAGGACTCCCTACCTCACAATTGCGCGCTCCAATCTTTCATCGCAATCCTGCGATAGGCGGCGGGTGCGGCGTGTGCGACGCCGTGTTAGGGGAGAAGTTCCCGGTACCAGTTATCCCGCCACCAATCGTTCGGTGTGTGAGAGCACTTTAGCGGAGGAGATCGGTGG